TAATTATGCTCTTGCTACAAAGTATAAAAATCCATAAGGTGAAGAGGAAATTATCAAAATTTGAATACTTGCTTACTAAATGGACTGTGAAACACTTGCCTGGAGTGGTTACATATTAAAAGCATACCTGAACAAAAGACAGATAAAAAACCTGCAACAAGAGTTGAAGCTTAATTAGATATGCTTTAGGTTGCAATTTCACATAACAGTTCTCTGGCAGTATGTCCCACTGAACAGAGAAAACTATGCTTCCAAGTAGGCAAGGACAGAACTGCATTGTCAAACATACTACCATATGCTACAGAGAGTTGTGGACACATAAGTGATGACTCCAAATGGGGATGTGCATCTATTTGCTCAAAGATGAAACTACAGCCACTCAATATGTTGCAAAACATTTCCAAAATAATTGGCAAACACCCAAAATAGCAACAGCATGTATGTCAGTTGCACTGGAAAAAGACTGCTTCAAAACACTGGGTTTCCCAGCTGGATTAAGGGGAAGTATCTAAATATTTTAAAAGCAAAAATTTCAAAGAATTTCAAGGTGGTCACAGTAAAAACGGAGAAAGATACACTTTAAAATCAGGAAGCAAGGAAAGGCAAATATGGTAGGGTGTCTAATTATTAAAGTATTTTGAAAAATACTGTTAAAACATAGAAATGTTCTAATAATAATAATGCGATCATAGAATATAATATTTGCTACAGATAATATATATTTGCTATAAAGGTATTCTATTAATAACTATGGCTGCTAACTGGTAATGCAACAATGAAGTTGCAGAGAAAATTTTCGAACATGTTTTTGATGTCGAATAGAGGTGTGCATTCACTTTTATTAAGCAAATGAAAAACCATTCTCTCTCTCTCTACACACACACAGACATATATATAAACAACTTACTGACAAATAGGAGATGATATAAACAGAATATACATGTTTAGATTCTATGAAAACAATGTACTGCCTGGAAAAACATTTACTATTACCACTTGGAGGAGAACTGTGTAATTTTGGATAGTAACAATGTTAACTTTGTAAGAGCATTAGAGAGCACTAAAACTGGTTCAAAGCCAAGTAGTGTATTGCAAAAGAGTGAAAGGGTTAGCTGTCTGAGCTAGAAAAAAGAAAAATCATCTCCTTTGAGTATACAGTAAAACTCAAGTGGGCTAGCTTGTAAAATTTTTATTTGCTTCTTATATTGATATACATTAGATTTTTTTTTTTGTAGCTAGCTATTTTAACATTACTTCCCTTTTCAAAAAGTGCAGTATTCAAGAAGGAAAAAGGTACCAAAATGCAGGAACGGCCAGACCAGGTCTCTATACTTATACAGAAACCTTGTGACCTTGTGTAGCTGCCCTTCACTATTATTTAGTATTAATTTACTAGAAAAAAACTGTTATTTTATAGGTTCCAATACTTTGGTACAGGTGGATATGTAACAACTTACTGTCCTCTGAGTAGATTTGAAACAGCTGCATTAGATAATTCAACTTGGACAATACTAATGTTAACTGTTTATTACATTATGACCTGGGAGTTATCTTGCAATCTTGGGGCACTATCCTCTTGTGTTCATGTATGAGTAGAAGATACCTCCTGCATAACAGAGATTTTAGTGCTTCATACAGCAAACCAAAATGTACAGGCCTTGTTTTTTAGGACTAAAAATGAGTCTGAATACCATGGCAGGCAAAGGAAGATGGTAGCAGTTTTATCTTATCCATTAGACATACCAATGGCAATTTTCAGCAAAAACTACCCAATTTACTGGGGGAGTGGGAAAGTGTTTTTACTAGACAGTTATTTTTTAAATATTATATCGTGCAAAAAGGCTATCGGATGTGGAAATGAGAACTATCTGGTACAAACTAAATTTCCCTGGGTGTTTAGGAACTACAAGAAGACTAGTATTACTACAAAAAGTGTACTGCAGAAATTTACTTTAATCCATGTCTGTGTCACATAATAGAAATTCTTGGATCAAAATTGTGTTTTAAGAAGCACATTTGGCTCTTTTAGACATTCATTTAAGAATAAAGTCTTCTTTGTTAACTTACACATATAAACAATGAAGTTTGTAGTCTCAAATGTTATGCTTGCTTACAACTGAAGCTCCATAAACTCACACTTTACCATGTTTTTCAGCAAGGCAATCCTCTTTCTCTGCAAGCTGCAAGCAACACTAAAGATCAGGACTGCACAGGGGTAGTAGCCTGATTTTCTGGACTAGAATTCCCCACAGCACCAGTCAAAATGCCTAGAGATCAAGGTGAATGACAGTAGCAGTTCAAAACAGCTAGAGATCACCAGGATAACTACTCCTTGAATCAAGATCTCTGTAGAGTGAACTTAGTGGTTGCTATAGTGCTACATTAAAAAGCAGCAAAAAGAAGAATACATTGATAATGTGTCCTCATTCCTCATGAGCATTATTTGGGGAAAATAAAGGATAGCAGAAAACTTTGTGATCTACACTTCCGTTGCAGAAAATGGAAGATTCCAGAACCAAAAGGAGTAATCAAGAGTAAAGGTTATGAGATGTGTACTGACAGATAAGCCTAAGACCAAGGCTTTACCTGCATTAGTAAAGCAGGTGCACCATTTTCACTGCCATTTGCTTCCCAAACATTAAAGCTGCATACATTCCTGGCCCAAATCATTGTGCAAATATCCCCTACAGTTAATAAAAATCGCTCCTTTTTGGTGGTAGATTGGGATGGAAGAAATCAGGTCCCAACATAAGTGACACTTACACCCAGCTCCCAGTGTGTACCCAGTCAATTTGGCCTCCTTTCTAGGGCTTTTTGAAAGAATTGTCAGCAAACCACAGTACCTGGAGCAATTCCTGCTCCAAAAAGGAGATGAGAAAATTGTAGTGAAGGGAGTTAATATCTCCTCTTTCTGGAGCTGGGGAGTCAGGCAAGTATTCAAAAGGTAGAAAACAGTGATCAGTGTCAGTTCAGGACTTAAAAGTGAGATGATCACATCACCAAGGGGTGCACGCTTTTGGTTCCTCTAACCCCTTTGGTTCTTTCAGTCACTCACACACACACTTTTGTGTGCCTGACTTGTATTTCTAGGGCCCTCTTTTCCTTAATATTATTTACCTCTGGTTCTTTGCAACTAGTGCTTAAATTAGCAAGCAACCTCAAATTGTCAATTTCATATTCCACTTCAGTGCTACTTTTGACAGCTGCAACATACAAGGAAATTGACCAAGCATGATGGTCATTAAAAGCAAATTTGTGAAAGGCCTACAGAATGCTAATAAAAAGATCAACACCCAACTGCACATTGTTGAAGCTTTGAAAAATGAATTTTACAAAGCTGGGTAACAAATGAGGGTCTTTACAAACTACTGTTTTGCATCAGTGGAAGGGCAGCCTCAAAAATTAAAAGGGACAGGATTTTTTTGCCATCCCTGCCAAGCAGCTCAATAACTGATCATGGCAACCCACAATAAAATGGGTGAGGTAACATGCTGACTCATCATGGGTAAGAAGCACCCTACAACAAATCATAGATTCTTTGCATGACTTGTTCCCAATAAATAAGTAAACTCACAGAAAACATCATGGCTTGCTACCCCTGCTGGACTATCATGTAATCCTCTCTACTGCCTTCCTTATTCCATAAACCCCCTACAATCAACCTGGACACAGCCTCAAAGATGCAGCTTCACTCTTATTTGATAGTAATTTAATAGGACTAAATGACAATAGAATTTATTTCAAAATAGTCACTCATTTCTTTTAAAGCCTCCTGTCTTTTAATGTGAACATGTATGCAAACGCTTATGGAACTTTTATATGGCGTTTAGCTTTGTTGCCCTCAGATTATAAAAGAAGAGGATTGGTGCCAAAAGACTTGAACTACTTAGATGTTGTGCCTAACTTGTAAACTACCACATTGTGCAAAACTGTATAGTTTCTCAACATATGTGCCATGTAACTAGTTAAGAGAGGCTATAATTAACAATTTCAAAGCTTTTTTGAGAGTGGAAGTGAATCTGTACAAGTCTTGATGCTTTTCTTAAACAGATTTTTTAAAATTCTGTGTAGCATATGAATTTATTTTTAAAAAATATTTGCATCTTGCTTCTCCTTGCATTTTAAGTTGGCTTATAAATTCACCAAAGCCAGTTCTGAAATAGTGAGGTTCCCAGCACTACAACATTTTTTTTCACATATAAAAATGTAAAAAGTTAACTTCCATCATTTAAAATGCAGTTTGTAAGAAGAGGCTTCACAGTGTCTCCTAATTTGCCACTCCTTCTAAATTAATTTAAGTAGCTGTTTTCATTGAATTTGGTTCAGATGTTCCTAAAGACTAACAAAAAGATCTTTGTACAGGTTTGAAAAAAAATGTATGAAAGGACATATGAGCTGTCCTGTATTAGCTGACCTATATAAAGAAGATCAGACAGATACATTTAGACGAAGTACACAAAATTATTTTTAAAAACCTATACCAACTGCACTGCATATCAGAAACATTCAGAACAAAGATATACTCAAGGACAGACAGAGAAAGAGATTCTGTAGGAAAAGTGGTACCATGAACATGACATTCAGATAGGAGATGAGTATTCCAAGTGAAATGCATCCTTTATTAAATGTACCTATGGTATGTTAGCCTTCAATCAAAGAATATAGTAGTTAAACACTTTGACTTTGAAATGAAGGCTGAAGAAAAGAACACAGGAACCATTCTACATACTTTTATAAGGCTCCCTTCATGTTAATTAGAACACTTTATAAGATAGATTTTGGGTGAAGACAGAAGTAACTATGTAGGTTATGGTATGGTTCCATTCTTAGGCATATTTACAAATGGTCATATTTCTATTATGGTTTTACAGTAGATTTGCTCAACTACACTCAAAATGCAGAGGTACAGATATTAAACCGCTTCACTGAATTTCTCATAAAACTTCTCATTCAGTTAAGCAGGAAATGGCAAATACATACATACATGTTCTCATCAGTACCTGTAACAATGTGTGATTCAGTGTAACCTCCAGTTCCGCAATCTGGTGTGCCAGGTCCTCATTATCCCCATGGATTTCTAAGTCCACCTCTGGTATTGTTTCCCATCTACCTTGATGAGCTGCCAAGTTATGAACCAATTCATACTGTCCAGGTAGAGCTAAACTAATCCGCGTTTGTCTTCCATGGGTGAAGCGAATTCGACGCCTTTTACAGTTCTCTTCACTGCTAACTTTGGTGGTAGGTAGCAGTCTGTCTCCCAAGAGCATGTTGAGTAACTGGCACTTGGCATTACAGTTCTGACCAAAGATTAAAAGACATGGGTGACAGCTCACTGTCAGCTGCAGGTACTCTTCCTCATGTCGGGGAAAGGCAATTGAGCTCAGCTGCCCTAAAAAAAAAAAAGCACAAATATCTTGTTAGAATTGGAAATAGAAACAAATAGAATTGCTATTTCCATCCAACTATTCTATGGCTCTGTCAGTGCAGTTTAGCCACAGGAATGCTACTTGACCCTGAAATGGGTTCTTGGGTAGGGTATGGCAACTAGACCAGGAAGTATTACAAAGAAGACTGGATATGTCCTAGAGGGCACTGCTTCCAGACACTATGTTTTTTGCTTCCCCGGCCAGAAGACATGGAATTTAGGTAGCAGAGAGGAGGAGCAGCAGCTAGTAGTTGCTAACCCAGAATGTGCACTAGTAAAAGAAATTCAGCAAGTGTTCTGTGCACACATGCATATATGTGTACGTGTGCGTGCACACACACACGCACACACACAAAGAATGAGAATGGGCACACTGGAGTACTGCCGTATGAATTAATCCAATTACTTTGATAGTGAATTCAGAGGAGGAGAGGAAGCAACAGGCAAAAGCAACTGTACCCACTGTGCTGGGGCATAGCTGCAGCTGCAAGCCCACTTCCCTCCAGCTAGCAACTGTCATTGCCCAAGCCATTGGAAAGAAAATGCAGCACACTGCACTGTTTATTGATCCAGCTACATGATCAGCTGAAATACTCCTTCCCCACACTGCATATGTGAACTGAACAGAAAAGAAGAGAAAGCTGATATAGTCAAAACTATACCTGAATGAAAGTAATGTTCACATTTCAAAATCTTCCCACCACTAGAACAAAGTTTCACAGACTGATACATTAGGCTACCCAGAGAGGCAGCACAACAAAGGGTGAACCCACAAGGGCTGCAAACAACTCCGGTGGTTAGGCATGGCAAAATGGATCACAAGCATGTGAATAAAAGAGCCAAAGTCCTTAACTGGAAATGTTGCAAGTGGATTATATTATAAATCATATGAAAACATAAATTTCTTGATACATATGAGAAGCCATTTATCTTGCCTTTGCTACTTTGGAAGAGCTTTGCCATGAAATGCTTCATGTCAGTACTTGAAATTAAATTAAATTAAATTAAATTAAAAATTGCAGATTCTTCAACTGAGCACCCCAGCACCCAACTATGGATGCATTATCATGCACAAGTTCAGCTATTCAAAAAGTCAGGCAGTTGATCCCAAAGGAACCACTTTCCTCTTTCTTCAATAGCTATTTTTGATAGCTATTGCTTTCCTTCTTGCTATAAAAAGATATACTGGAAACATTAAAAAAGCAGCCTTTTTTTAAAAAAAAGTTTACTATACAACAGTACAACCTATATTGTTAACTGCAGCCATACCATCTGTATCTTGTTAGTTTCTCAATGCAGAAGAATTAAAATGTAGGCTACACTAAACAGCCACCTTGTATTTGCGGTTGCAGCTTCTCCCATAATAACACCTGTTGGGGGATCTGGTTCTACAAGCACACATTCTAGCACTTTGACACAGGAGAATCCAAATCTGTGAAATCCTTTATTGCAGAAAACCCCACAGGGTAAGTGCAACAGTAAAGAGCAAATTCCCTAAAAGGAAATGAAGTAAACTCTAGCTCTTGTAGAACGATGAGGCAAATTGCACAGCCAATATTCTGCCCACTTGTTCTATACAAAAAATGCTCTGTGCTGATCTTTCAAGTTTTTAGCCAATGAATGAAGTCATAGCAACATTTGGCACACCCATCCTTTGGACAGTGAACTTGCTGGTTCACTGTAAAGGCTTTTGAAGGGCTCCTTTTGGTGGGAAATGATTACTGTCTGAAAAAAAAAAAGCAATTTAGAAATTCAGGAATGTAGTGTAGTTCATATTGGGCAATAGTGTGTCTACCTGCAAAAAGCACAAAGACAGGAGTTTATGATCTTTCTAACTCAGATTTCCATAATAATATTTTTCCTGAGTTTGGAAACATTAAAAATACCCTAACAAAGCATATGGATAAACAAAACTTATTATATCTATATCACTTGAAACAGGACTCTGAATGAGAGTGTGTTTTATGCCAGTCAAGCAAAGCACAATTGATAAAGGTCTATAAAAGGGATTGTTAAAACGTATGTACATGTAGCTTTAGAAAAATACAGAAGTTTTAATTGTTACAGAAAGGCTGGCTGGGGGTATCTCCTTCTGTCTTTTAGTGCAGGCCTTGGAGCTGAGACAGTGTATCATATAGCATCACAGAAATTAGTGTTTTTGCATGTACTGTAATAATGAACCTGTTGTGAAGGTTCTTGGCTTTATTATGTTAAGTGGAAAGCAGAGCCTATGAATGGAGTGCAGGTGTGTCACTCACAGACACATAGACACACACACACATGGACACACACACAACAGAGAGAGAGCAAGAGTGTGAGAGCGAGAGCACACAACATTAACCATGACCAAGAGCCATTACATGGGTTAGGGGAGCCAAAGAAGAAATCGAGGGTTTCAAGTGGAAAGTGGAAAAACACTGCACCAGTTTGCATAATCACCATAGTCCATTGTAGCTTATTTAACTCATGCCATAAACCACAAGAGGCTATAGTGAACATGCAGGCCTAATCAAACTCTAGACATCAGGTCTATCTGCAAAGAAACAACAGAGGTCTCAAGAGGGAGATCTGCCATATGAATTACTACATGGCAAGTGTTGCCACTATCAGATTAAATCCAGCAATGCATTTTAGGAAGAAGCAAAAGCTGATTTGCTTTTCTAATAACTGGAAGGCTTCCCTCTTGCCTTTGGCAAAAAAACACAGGTTCCTGCAGCAGCATAAAGCCGAAGTGCACATTTTCTTCCTTATATTAACAAAGCCAGAAATTAATTCTACGTGGTGCACTAGGTAAAATAAGTCAATAGTCACTGGATTGTGAGCAGATCTAGTGGTTGGAAGGAATGAAACCTTTAGTGCATTTTTTTTCTTGAAGTGGTAGAGGAAATCTTCCATAGGTTCCAAGTTGTATCACTGACTAATTCAAATCCCCATTTTGAAACTAGGTCTATGTGAAAAGTGGACTTAATTGCAGGACAAAATTTTGGACTCTGTTTCTTGCCCCATCCTCAATTTTTCTAACATTTTGCCTGATGAACAGTTGTGAACAATATAAAGCTTGCACAATTGTAGGATTCTGACTTGTCCTAATAAAAGTATTGCCCAATTGTGAATTATGGATATTTTTCCTTGAACCATAATGAGTTTTTAAAATTTTCACTAACCTTAAGTGACAAATAACACTTTTTAAAGCTTTTAAATAATTAAAAAATTATTATCACAAGTAAATAGAGAAAAGAGTACTCGGGACATTTTTATTTATTCAAGATACATCTTAAAAGAGGAACTTGTGCAGTTTAACTGCAAAGATAGAGTGGTTTAGAAAGATACTGAATAGTCTGTATGTCTAAGCTGACTTGTATATTGGAAAGTAGGAGCAGATAACATTTATGGAAAATAGGCTGTTTATTAAATATTAAAATCTTAATTTTCAAGATAATGTTTCTCTGTACTCCTTGTTCTCCTGCCTTTAAATGTGGTATTTTCCCTCTAAGTGTGCAATTATATTGCTTTTGGATGGGGCATGAGGATTGTATTTTTAAGTCTGTATTTTAAAAAACCCATTCGGGTAATTTCAAGCTTAATGATCAGCCTTCTATTCGAAGTTTTTTTTTTCCTTGGACCATTAATAATATCACATAACCATTTATATATTTATTATTACATATCTGTATCACCCATTGGCCAAGGCTCTCTGGGCAGCTCAGAAAACAAATCTGTACACCATAAAATACAGTATCATAGTAAAAACACATTATAAAGCCATTATGTTAAAATAGAATAGAACCAAAATAGTAACCAAGTTAAAATCCTGCAGCAGTTCAAAGATGTAAAAACACATTACACATTTTACCGAACGTGTAAGATGCCTAGGAAAATAACAAGGTCTTCATCTGGCATGGGAAACACCACAATGTGGGCACCTGGTAAACTTCTCTAAGTCTGGGTTCCAATGCCATAGTTTACATAGCAATCATGGCTGTTATTCTAACTTGCATAATAGTAGTTTTACATTGATCCACTTCAGTAAGATGTCCTAAGTAAAAGCAGGTTGAGTGTCTTATCAATAGAGAGAGGTTTTCATCTGTGCTCCACTATTTTTCTGGTCAAACATAATTTTTTCCAAAAGGTGCAAGAAGTGTAAAAACATGCTATTGCACAGAAAACAGAACGTTTCTGTGTGTGAATTAATCCAGTGATCCAACACAGGTCAGTATGTTTTATACGTTTCTGTTTCAAACAAGTCTCCAAAGTGCTACATAGTGGAGTCTTTTATTTAGAGTATTAGAAAATGTTGTTTAATGGCAGAAAGTGTCCTGCTGAAAATAATTATGACAACACAGTTCAGTCATACCCACAGTTAGGTTAGAACTGTGCTTTCTGCAAAATACAATACCAATATTCAAAAAAAAAAAGAAAAGAAAACGCACTGAAATATAGCTTTAAAACCCTGCATATTCAAGTAGTACATGAACACTCTCTCTACACAGACCATGCCTAAAAGCACAGAGTATGCTTTTTCATTTATCTTTTTTCCTGTCTGGTATGTTAACTAATTGACCAAGTACTTCCAACTGATTGCCCATTTTCTTCTCAACAGATACAGTCAAATATGCTAGAAAACCAAGACTATACCTATTAGGTGGAATATCATCTTTATTTTTAATGGAGGGAAGTCATTTGTTAGCAAGGGCTACCTAGCCCTTGGCCCAGCAGCATTCATGGGCACACTGATGATGCAAATAGAAGTGAAAAACCAGGTGAAGTTGATCTAGGTAAACTGAAGAACTGCCCTACTGTCTACACACCTACCTTAAAAGTAGCCTTTTGGTTTTTAGGAATTACCAGTCATTGTGATTTTTTTCAAGTGTGTAGGCTGACACTGGTTTTCTAGGATAAAAGACAGAAAGAACTGTCCAGAGAACTGTTTGCATTAATAAAGAAACTTTAGCCAATGTTGCAGT